AGCATACACTCAGATACACTACTTAATTTTTGGTTTATGTAGTCCCCTCATGAGCCTCAGGGTTCTGGTTAAAGACAAAAGTCTGAACATGGCCCACCCCAAAATAAAGCATCACAGAGAATAGAAACTCCTGCCTATTTGGGAGCCCATCTCTCTCTATACAGGGCCCTTTCAGAAGGCCTCACCAACCCTCTCCTTTTGCTCGGCCTGGTGGGTTTACTCCAGCTCATTTCCGCCTGGCAAAACTTAAAACCTGCCAGCTTGACAGAAATGATGCCCTTTAAAGGCAGAGGACAAACGGGAGTTCTGCAGTAGCTGATTCCTTTTTCAGGGCCTTTCAAAAACACACCTTTCCGTTTCTTTAGGAAGGTGGTAAATCCAGGTAGGGGGCTCAGTGGCCGCAGAAGCCACGCAGCTACCCCGCCGTCCCATCTGGCTTACTGGCGCGCTCCAGCAAAAAGCGAGGGAGCCGGGAACCCGCCCGCGCTCTTTAGAAATGGAGGCCGCCAGGCGCGGCTAACTCCGCGAGGCGGCCTCCAAGAAAAGAGATGCGGGGGAAAGAGAGGGGACCGTCCCGCAGCGCGATCCAAGTCGACCCCCCCCCTCCCGTCGCAAACGGGCACGCGTTTTTCAAGGCTGCATGTTTGGAAAAGGAGCCTTTGGGGGTGGGGTGGGGAGGAAATGATCGCCCCCCCGGAGTGCGCCACCCGTTCAATAGATCAAGGACATGCTGGGGAGCGATGCAGCTTTTCCTGCAGGCACGCCGGCCACGACGCGGGAGGAAGCGGATGGGCTCATCCCGCCGGCGGGACTTTTTGCCGGTGTCCGTTTCCCAGTCCTGGGTTTCTTTTGCACCGTTGTGGTCCCGCATCCGTGGCCCCTCCAAAGCTGAGTCCCCCTTATTGCTCAGCCCATTCATTCGAGTCTCATGGTCGTGGGGATCGGAGCCCCGGTTTATCAGAAGCAGCTCAGGAGTGCACCACGAACAGGGCCACGGCTCTCCCGCAAGATATTCTCCGCGAACAAGCCCCAGTACCTGAACCGCCTGGTTTCCTAGCTGGTAAGCGCTGCCGCCTTTCGCGCTTTCTTTTTCAAAGTCAGTCTCTGGGTGTTCGCAGCCAGCCTCCGTCTGCTCTGGGTGGAATCCCTTTTCCGGGCACTTTTAAAAGGTTTAAATCTGGTATCCAAAACCCGAAGAGCCAATTAGGAGGAACTCTGGCAAGCCAG